CGCCCCTTTGGACGTAATTTAAAATCTGAAACATTTCAGATTTTTTTTTTTTTTTTTAGTCCAAAGGGATTTGAATCCCGAAGGACTATTAGTTTCGTTTTGGCATTTTGCGTCGGACGGATAAATGTCGGTTCACTTTTCAAACTGTTGCCATAAAATGTTAGAGTCCTGCATTATATTTGAAGAAATTAAATAATGAAAATCTGCGTAAATGTATGTATATTTCTCACATTGTCATAAAATAACGGTACATAGAGTCATCGAATTTTGAATAACGTAATCCTCCAACGAATATGAGCATGTGGAAGACCAAATTTTGAAATTTGAAATTTGTTTATTATTTTATTTTATGTCGATAGGCACTCAAGTAAATGGGATGCGTTGGTTTTTTAAGCGGCTATATCAATTAGAGTTTTTTAAATTATTTTTATATTTTTTTTTTTAAAGGCAAAGATTATAACAGCAGCAAAAAAATACCCCCGCCACCCACACTAACAAACATCAGTACAGTGCTATTTTTTTTTTTTTTTTATTTTTTTTATTATTTTAATATTTTTAATTTTTTCAGTTTTAACTACAGTAGCAAATATTATGTATATCTCCGAAAACGTCAAGGATATTATTAAAAGTATACAAATTAAATTTTCTACAGTCCTGATAGCTACTGTTCGTTTAAAAAACAGCATCGTCTTTCTAGATAGTAACAACACGTTCTTTCACTTTCATTTCACATATAGCTTTAGCAACTAAAGCATGAATCACATTCTGAAATCATTTTCAAAATGCTATATTCCTTCTGCACTTTAAAAAATTATATCACTGGCTATTAAAGAAAGCATATTATTCTGAAAATACCGATTTAAAAGTAGAATTGTATTTAAAAATTAAAACCGTTACTTAATAGGGGAAAGTATCCTTAGAGCATTTTATAATGGTGCTGTTATAAATAATGCAGACTCTAACTCTTTGATGCAAATTTCATACCCTTGATGTCAACGCGAAAGGTATACGTTATCTTATCATAGCCCACGTGCACATCATAGCTAAAGTGAAAAGATGAATGAGTGTATGCAGAATGAGTGTCGTGTTGATGTTATGTTATATTCACATATCAAGGAAAAGCAAGAATGTCCAAGAAGGTGAGAATAGACTGAGTAAGCATGACGTCACAAAACTGGAGCCAAGTATATGTCAATCTCGTGACTTTACGACTTAACATATCCGCTATATAGCTTACTGTTAAGACTACGAAACATATCGTGAAACAGAGTGGCACTGACTTTGAGAACAAATATCAAAGTCCGCAGACTCAAAAAAGTGTCTTTAGGCATAATTCGCATAAAATACCATTTAACGTTCACTGGTTTTTTAGGTTTTACTATATATATATACGTATGTTTATATATTTGTCTTATAGATATTATTTACTCATTTTCATGTACCTATATTTTTATTACATTTGAAACAGTTATTTGTAATACTTATGAATCTTCTATACGCAAAGTAGGAAACTGTTTATGTTAAGTATTAAAATTAGAACGGGGAACTTGCAAACGCTCAGTGATGGGTAGCTAATATGTCGCCAGCGCTGACTAGAATAAAAATAAAACCAACCAGAAGTCTGCCTATGGCAGCGGTCGTGATAAGTCGTGAATTCATATTATGAGATTCCTGTCTTCCTTTTCATTGCATGGGACCACGGAGTATAAAGGACCACTTTATATGTCTCCAGAATTAAAGTCTAGCAAGCCTTCACCACCATTTATACTCTTCTAAGAAAGAATTCAAAATAAATTAAGCCGGAAAAGATTGCTATATTCTCAGGCTATGATGCCAATTTTATTATACACCGTCTCAGCATGGGCTGCCACAGCACGTTCGAACAGATTAATTCTAAAGCGCCTACAAAACAAGCTACTTAATATTTAACAACTTCCTAAGGTTTGTACGGAACACCATAATTCATAAAAACATCAAAATCGAACCCATAGTTGGTGAAGTTTTTAAACTCTGGCATACGTTCTATCAGCAATGCGAAAATCATTCGTCCAAGCCAGTATAAAATATCGGAAATGTGACTACCTAGCTGTACAACCCGCATAAACGACCCAGGACGATTCATCATAATGCCAATTGGTAATCCCCTGGTTATGTATATATTGCAAACATTTCATCTTCTTATTTTTATTATTCTCATTTACTTATTATTTAATCCTAGCAAAGCAGGAATAAACCCGTCAAAGCAGGTATAGACTTTGAGAGTATTTTTGTAAAGTTCATAGTAACTTCTAACTGGTTAGTCAGAGCCAATCCAATAATGGTGTTAGACAGTTCGTATCTGATTGTTCACACTTATTTTATACTACAATTATTTTGAATCTACGCGTATTGTAACATATCAGCATATGTAAGAACTAAGTAATTGCTATATATTGCTATCGTAAGTCATGTTAAATAAATAATACTGCTATATATTACTATCGTAAGTCATGTTAAATGAATAATACTGCTATATAATTGCTTGAAATGCTAAAATCTACTGTAAGTACAAAATTTCCCTGAAATGCAATACGTAAGTGCACAAGTCTTCCATTTTTAGATTTTGAAATTGCTGTAAAAATGAGTTTACCTTAGGGGAAATGGAAAAGTATAGTTAGTGGTAAAGGCCCAAAGGTCGTAATTGTTAAGAAGGAGAGCTTCGCCAAAGCCGAAGTGGTTCCCTCCCATCGCAGAAGGAAGCAGCTGCGCATGCGCGAAAGTGCTGCCGAGCCGGTGTCAAAGGTTGAAGGTCACGTTTATCAAGAATTCGAAGTTCGTTAACTCCATCTTTTTCCCATATAGACGAAAGTGAAATCAGCGATCAAATGCGATCAATCAACAGCAAGCGAATACTACGAAAAGCCAAGTTTAAAACAAAGAAAACGTTTCGTCAAAGAACGAATTTAATTACTCTAAATGTGTACCCTATCCCTCGAATTCCTATACAAATTTTTGATTTGGCAATGAGACTTGGCGACGAGAATTTCTCCCTCCGCGCTATAGAGGCGCAGTAGTAAAACCGGTTTACATTACGTCTATGATAACTTTTCTTCTTTACATACATATTCCTTGGCTTACCACTCATAAAACAAAGATCGAGAATCAAAGAAGTACACGGGACATAACGAGGAAGGCTTCCTTCATTTATTATAATCTCCTTGGACATAACCGTTATAATCACTACGTACTGTTGCAATAAGGAACATGCTAATATGCTGTGTTGAGCATTTAAGCTGCTGCAGTGAACCTGTGCTTTAAAAGCTCTGTGCGAACGTGTACATGGCCATATTTGTATAGTAGGTTTTTTGCATTCCGAGAGCCAATAAATATCAAGATAGCAATACCGAGTAAACCATAATATTAAACATTTAAAACAGTAGTTTTTCAAATAAAACAGAAAATAAAAATTTTACGAACTCAAAAGATTTTTAGAGCAAGATAAATCTTAAAATTGATTTATTACCTGTAAGAACAGTTATCAAAACATGTTACACCATTAGATTACTAATATTGAACGTTCATAATAATTTTCACACCAGTATATTTAAGGGAACGTACCTAAAAAAGCCTCATTAAGAAAATATCAGAGTTGATTTAAGTTTTTAATAAAGATCTTGTTTCATTAGTGTGGCCAAAAAATAAAAGATTATCAGGAAATCTATTTGTATCAGAGACCTAAGCTTTTTCATTCCCGAAGTAATCTTTATCGTCCGGGGTTTTGAAATTTTGCTAAGCGGAAATTTTGTCACTTATTGTCGTCTTGGTAGTGTTTTTCCAATATATTTGATTAAAACATAAACGAACTGCACTGTTGATAGATACAAATAAACACTACCAAGGCTATAACAATTTATACTAAAAATAATGCTTAAAATTGAAATCAGACAATTTAATGATAACCCTGAGTTACGATAACTTAAACCGGAGATTTGATTACATATCCCATGGAGATAAGAATAAAAGGAAGCTCCAATCCCGCACCATGACTAACGCAGGGCTTTCAAGCTTTGGTCTCCAGAAGGAGTGTACTTTTTGTTTACGTCCGCAGTATCCTTGACAGCTCTTTGCCAGTATTTCCACACACGACAGATCCACACCAATCGAAAATCGTGTACACTTCCGCATAAAGGAAACATTCATCGTTGGATGACCAAAAGCAATTTCTGTAGTTTAATGGCATTTACGAAAAAATTACATCTTGATTATTTTTCGATAAATTGCGAGTGATTTTGATAGTGAATTTGTTTTGTAAAATTCTAAGTTATTAGACTACATAAATATAAATTTTAGCAAAATGTTTGTTATGCGTAAAGAATGAAAAATATCGTAAGGTACTTTTAAAATGTAAAAGTATCGCAAAAATATAACACATTTTAAAGCTCAATTTCCTTATAACTAAGTGGTATAAGCGTGAAAATTTGTATACTTCTTTCGATGCCCTTGATAGAGTATTCGCTACTTTTATTTTATGTTGCAAATATGAAAATGTTTTAAATAAAATAATATTGTAACATGTACTTTTTAAAAATTTTTAGAGGAGAGGCTTAATATTTGTTCATATCAAACTCATAACTTTATTTATATAATTGAAAAATAATCACTTTGGGTTTACACTTTGGGTTCACTAAAAATGAAATTACCACCAAATCCTGTCATCCTCTTCAAAATTAATAAAATATACAGACAGATATGCTAATGAGTTAACTTTTCCTTCATTTGTAACCACACAATTGTACAAAAGTATATACAATTTTACACAAGTGTGTGGAACAGAAGACAAAAACACTTCCTAATTCAGCGGAAGTATCATGTGTGATCAAGATGATGTGACCAAGTGAAAGGTGCCACATTATCAAGATAACTTATTAGGAAATTAAAAATAGAGTGATCGACGGAGGTGAAAATATTTGTGTATGGTCCTCTTATTGATTCCAGATTGTTAAATGTTTCCCACGCAAATTTTTTCTTCTCTTAAATTCCAGGTTCGTGCCGGCTTCTAACGTACGCAGATCTCATTCATAGACAAGAATGGCTAGCTGAAGCATCTCAGTATCATAATTAAAAAGTGGCGAAATTTTCAGTTCTCAATTAACTCTCTCCTGGATTAAAAGATTTCTCTGAGAAATTGAGTACCACTCACAGAAAAGGAATTCAATACTGATACCGTGTATTGTGGAGGAATTTCGAAGGAAAACTCACATTTGACTGGGTATTAAAAAAATGCATGTAATTTTCATTCAAATTATATCTACATCGTATTTCTTATATAAAATTTATGGTATATGCTAAATTATTGTTAATTACTTTACGCGAAAAATATAGTGAATGCACAGAAATTAAAGATTTGCATACTCCGAAAATGATAAATATGAGATATATGTATGGGTATTGATGCATATCCTTGCAAAATGCATGTATTTGCCTTTAATAAAATATGTAAATATTTATTAAATTATTTAGAAATGTATTTAGAAATGAAGGACTTGCTCATTCATAAACTCCTATGAAAGTAACTGTGAAGAAATCTAGTTATTAAATATATTTAAATTTATAATGAATATAAATATTATCTAAATGTATAATAAACTTAACATTTAATTGTAAACATAAATTGAAATTCTGTTGAAAAATGCGTTTATAACAAGAACTATAGCAAAAACTAATAAAAAAGCTATTTAAGCAAGAATTGTTCGCACTGGAAAGCAATCTGTTAAAAGATGTTGTAAAGCAAATTCTACGAGATGCGTACTTAAGGAAATATTAAAGAAGAATTTTTAGAATATGTATAGTTGAAATTAAGGGTAAAAAAATTAATTCTATGAGATGCGAAGGATTAAAAGAATCATTATTATTTCCTTACATTTTATAACTCAATTACAAGTTTTAAATAATATTTTAAAAATATCCTTTTTTTTTATTGCCTTTTAGAAATATTCATAGAAACAACAAGATAGATGGGTAAAATAACCCTTTATTATTCTAACTAAAGTTTAACAAAACTCCGTCTTGGAGTTGTACAGTAAAGTCGACACTTGGGCTTGAACTTAACTAAAGAGATATAGCCGAATCTATCAACATTCTAACAGAGTTGGCCCCTTAACGCTAATTGACTGCGAAGCTATCAAAGGCCTAAAGTACGGCCAAGGGTAATAATAGCTTATGAGAGAGTAGCCTAAAAAGGCGGACGAGTCTTAACCAGAATATCTAGTATCTCTCTCTCACTAAGACAGTAGAACTTCGCGGTTAAATACTGCTCTTCCTCATTAGCATTCAGACGTGATTCTAAAACTACGTTCTGGTCAGAAATGGTAAGGTGAAGTAAGAATCTATAGGAAAGGAAGTTAAACTCAAAATTTAGCTGTTAATAAAATTAACATAATCCTTACATGTTATTAAGACGGCAAACCAGTCTTAACAGAATCATGAAACCTTTTTCAGAGTACTGAGTTTCTACTTTCAAAGAATTAGCTTGCTTATCAGGTTATCCCATTTCAATGGAAATATCCATTTTGACAGTTCCCGAATGTATTTTGATTATTTTTTTTTTGTGAGATGCCTGTACGTATACGGACAGAATAAAAGGCGTGCACTTGTCACATGACTCAAAAATGATTGGCCATAGAACAATGACATTTCACCTACGTAACTGCTATTGATCTAGTTATGCACATCCCCTTTTTACAACCGGCGGTACTAATAGTTTATATAAATATGTACTTTTTATTGCAATCTGCGGTATCAAAAGTGTAGAGAGAGCTAGATAGATAGATTTTAATAAATTTAATAAAAGACCAGGACATCCTTTACTTTCGCAGTCTTGGTCCTAATCATATACATCGAAACACAGAAGTGTTTCAAATGACGAAAATATTCATGTTTGGCAATGTCAAATTAATTACACTCGTTATGAAAAAAATAAAATTTTAAGAAGTTTGACTCCCATACGAAAACATTTACCGTGATATTTACTTGTAATTTAAAAATTTGAAATTTTTGATGCCCTTTTCAATTTGCCTTCAGGGATCACTTCATCGAGTTAGAATAATTCGAGGAAATAAGTTTAAATGAAGTGCAGCAAAAAGTGTGTTTAATTTAATGGGCCGTACAAAGCATATAAGAGTTAAAATATTTAGCATAATAAAAGTTAAAATTCGTCTAATGTCTAATACATACCATACAATAATGCCATTACTTAGTAGACTATTTTTACAATTTTTTAATGTTCAAAATTTAAATTTAGAATCGAAATTTATTACACGCATCAAAATTCCGTTACAAATGTTACTACATATTTTTCAAACTTGACCTGTGAAAATACTGCAAAATTTTATTTGATAATTTTCAGTTTGAGATTTTACATTAGCGTATCATAATATTGAATCTCTTTGTATAAAACTCTAAGCATAGAAACTCCTCCAGTTTGTATTATTGACAACTTTTCACAATCTATCAGCAAGTTCTTTCAAAGACACACACAGAAACCTTTATCACAGACACACACAGAAACTTCATAACCGTATAATTAAAATATAGATTAACGTGTCTGATTTGCTAACATATTAATTCAAGAATTTTCACTCTGATTGCCAGCATTGAACTTTGTGGGCTCCTCTATGCGTTAAAATGGTTTAAGCTGCAGAAGGTTTACCTTTTACTGAAAGCTATGCTTCCGTAAAATGATTTTTTTTCCAGAGAAACACTTATTATTATCTAATAATTAGTTTTAATATTAAATAATACCAATACTAGGCAGTGATATCTTTGACATAATGTAATAATAATGGTAAAAAAAAATCTGAAATGTTTCAGATTTTAAATTACGTCCAAAGGGGCGTTTTTTTTTAACATTTTGTGTGTTACCTTTCTTTATTAAATATCATGTTCCTCGCACTTAAACCATAAGATCCAGTGCAACAGCAATATCGCAAAATAGTTTTTAAAACGAGCATATCTTTAGAATTTCCGATACAGAGACTCACGCGCTGGAGATAAAAATGTTTTTTCTGCACAACGTTGCCATTGCTCGCTTTGAAATCCTTGAGTTTGTTAATCAAAAATTCGTCAAAGTTTTAAAAAATAGGAAATCGATCATAAAACAAATTTCAAATTTCAAATTTGGTCTTCCACATGCTCATATTCGTTGGAGGATTACGTTATTCAAAATTCGATGACTCTATGTACCGTTGTTTTATCACAATACGAGAAATATACATACATTTATGCAGATTTTTCATTATTTAATTTCTTCAAATATAATGCAGGACTCTAACATTTTGTGGCAACAGTTTGAAAAGCGAACCGACGTTTATGAGTCCGACGCAAATTGCCAAAACGAAACTAATAGTCCTTCGGGATTCAAATCCCTTTGGACTAAATAAATTGTATTAATTAATATTAGATAGTAATACTGTTAGCATAAATTTAGGTATTTCGCATAATGAAACTCGAAAGGCATACGAAACAAACGTGCGCAAAGATATTATATTGGCGAGAGAAAGTAATGTTCCTGAGCAATGCAGTATATTTGACTTTCACCTTAGCTACGTGGAGTGTATTCGATTATCACCTTAGCTTCTTGTATCACGGCCAAAGGTCTAATTCAGTTAGTGCCTTCTCTTTCAGGTACTGTGACAAGTATGTTCGTGTTTTTCCTTTTTTTATTGCCTAAATAGGTAAGTATGATGATATTTAGGACTGATGATGATTCTATGTAAGTTATCTCCTTTTCGATATATCAGTGTTTTAATGTCTGTGAAGACTTTTGTTATGCTTAAGTTAAGCAAAATTATCCTATTTTTATTAAATAAAGATTTTAGTTAATTTTTGACTTATAATTCTTTAATGAAAACTGCGACTGAGGAAACTTACTCAATACGCCTTCAGTGCTACTGCACAAACCAACAAATACTGGTAAGACTATTAGATAATAATTGATTTCAACCAGGGATAAGAAATGGAGCATCTTTCACTGAATATTTAAAATGATTTTAGAATAAATTTAATGATATTAAAGAGCATTATTATTATTGAAGTTGAAAGGGTTATAAAAAGTAGGAAACAGCAACAGATATAACAAAGGCAATAAATAATGCTAAGATGAACAGTGAGAAAACTTGCTTATTCATTTTAAATCAAATAAAATTAGGTTTGTTAATTTATTTTAAAATTTAATTTCAGTATTTTATTTTAATTGAAATTGAAATGCGCTGTGTGTTTAGACTTACAAAATTAAACAACAAAAACTGCAAAATTTAATCAAAGCTACGTATGATAAAAATTTCATGAATATATTGAAAAGGAAACTTTTCAAATATTGCCTTAGTTGAAATTTTTATTTACATTCATTCTGTCAGTTTCTGTAAATGCTGTTTATATGCTGAAAAACGCATGGAAAAAATCTCATTCCTTCAAAATCAATGTTTCATGCGTAACATATGCTTTGTATTCTCTATGCGTATTTCTGCTCGGATGTATGCTAAATAAAGCTTCTCCTTTTAAACTTTGGCTTCGAAAAGTAGGATTAATAGTTAATCGTTCACTTTTTTAAAATGAATACTTAGTTAGGTATGGAGGTATGAAGACCCCTGGTATGTCTACAGGGGAAAGAAAACATTCTTCGCGAAGATGAGTTTAGGAGGTCGTAAAATCTTTCATGCAGTTGGCGTGCTTTTTTCTTTTCCCTTTTGTCTGTGCAGTTGGAATACAGCTCCTAAGAATTCAAAAAAATTTTCCCTATATTCTCAAAGCCCACAGGGCATATAACTTGACGCGAGAATAAATGTGGTGTAACGTCTGAACACCCAGGATGGGTGAAGGAAAAAGATCAATTGGCTTTTAAAAATTTAATTTAAAACTTAATAAGGTTTTTCTGAATAAATAAAGCAAATAATCAGAACATTACAGTCATAATATAAAAACCGGCTGCTGAAATGCGGCATTACATGGCTGGCGCGACTTATTGTCACTGCATAAAATCACACACAAAAGCCCCTTTCTTTCTTTTAAGTTGCTCACCAGCGGCTGAGCGGTAAAGACGCTGAACACTGGTAGTTCGGTCTGAGGTTCAAATCCCGCAAACACGCTGGCTGCATGGGCGTTTTTGTGGTTTTCCCCATGTGTAACGTGTATACGAGCCAGTTTCCCTTAAAAAGTCCTCCACGAAGGCATCCCTTCCTTTAGGCAGATATCCCTCGTGTGTTTTGCCATAAT